AAAATTAAAATTAGTCATAAATTTAAAAGTTGCGATAACTTTTTTTTTGGTCCAATACTTTTGACCGGGGAGTGTATGTGAAAAACAGCCAATCCAATTAATTCCATTTAGTAATTCAACAACACATTTTTTCATATTGCTTGCATTATCGGTAGTAATTGTTGTTGTAAGATGACAAATTTTCCATTGTTGTAAAATATTTTTGATACATTCTGCTATATTTATAGCAGTATGAGGATAGCGAACATATTGAATAGTAAGAGTGACCTCCTTAAGAATAAAATTTGAATCAACATATGAATATGTGATTCCAATAAAACCTTTTCTATTTCGGCCAGTCCATAAATCTGTTGTTAATGATACAGATATTACTTCATTTGTAATTTGTTCTACCATTTTTGGTTATGTGTAATTGTATGCTTTGTGAATAATTGCTTTTATAGTTTTTGCCTCCGGTACTAGAAATGCAGGATCCAATTCATTACAAAAGATACGAAATGTTGTGCTATTAACAACCGAAAATGGTTGTAAATCATCAATAATCCAATTGGTTAGAAATTGCCGAAGTTCAATTTGTTGTTTTTCTGGATGTTTTTTTATTACATTAAGTTTTTGTTGTTTATCCTATATATAATTATTAATAAATTAGATACAAAAATAATAATCAATAAAACATAAATTTTACTAATCTAAATATTGTTACCTCAGACTGTTTTCCATCTTTAGTTATTTTATGAATAGACCATAAATGACCGGTTCCATTACCTGTTGATTCATCATATTTAAGCTTTACATTACATGCTGTTCCATCTTCTTTTAATACTTGACAGATTATAAATGATTCGTTGTTATCAGTAAGTTCAATAAAATGGGCCCATATCCAACTAGTTTTTTTCCTCTTATGTTTAATCTTTTTCCTTGACGGTTGAATGAAATCTTCTTGAGATGGTGTATCTGGGGAAGGAGTATTCAAAAAGGATGTAATGCTACCTTGGTATTGTGACATTTTTTTTTGAAATATGAATGGTAAGATGGTAAACTAATGATCCGATAGTTCTTTTGTATTTGATTAATCGTTATATATAAAAAAAAATTGAAAATAATAGAAGCATTGCATATGATAGTCGTTAATAAAAAGCAATCATCTTGCTGCTACAATAATTATATTATAGTATCTATTCATGAGTTGGTAAAACGAATTTCGATAATATACACGTTCAAATTCATTTTCTTCGAGTGATAAATTAAAAATTTCACGCCAAAAAAAAATTGTATCGGTCAATTTTTAATATTTAGTTGCCGATTGGATTACTATAATTGTAACCTAACTGCATTTAGTTAATACATTATAGTACGGAAATAACACAAGATTTAACGGTTTATCTGAATTTATCTGTTTGGTTAAATGCTTTATCCAGATAACCGTCCAATTGAAAAAATTTTGATCTGGATATCTAGTCTTAGCGGATAGCCGTTAAGATAACTGGATATATCAAAACTGGATACAAACATTAATCTCATCTAACACAAGTATTTCTAGCTCATCCAAAAGAACTTTAAATGCATTCTTAGGTAATAATCCTCTGAGAAATAGATTTTTAAAAAGCCATTCTGGATAGTCTTTACTTAAATTACACTCTTTCAGTTTCAAATAATATTTCTTTACTGTATAATTGCCTTGAACTATTCTTTCAAATAAAAATTCCATTCTTTTGCGTCATTTAAGATTCACCTTTTTTTCTCATATATTATTTATACTGCAAGAATTCTTTAGTTCTTGTTCTGAAAGATATTTTAGAATAAATGCTATTATTTCTAACGAAAGAAAATCAAGTAAATTATCTATATGTATTGTTTTATTTATATAGTTAGAATATCTTTTGATCAGAAAAAAATATTACACTGGAATTATACTGTATATTGACTAGCCAAATACTGATCAGTGTCTGGACTAACATTGATCAGGCCTAGATTGCTAATCATCATTTGAACTGCTAACTACTTTCTTTGTTACTTATGAATAATCTTTTTATTTTTACTACGTCTGATTCTGATTCTTTAGATGAACTGGACTCGTAAAAATCTATAGTAGTAAGATTAACCTTACCTTTTTTTGGCAATTTTTTGATATTTGATGAGAAAGCTAATTCTTATATTAAATCAATCACAGTCTTCCTATCTACACATTCATCTAGTTTTACATATTTGTTCAAATCTTCTCTAAGAACTTTACATCTTTTTCTAATCTTTTTACCCTCTTTTCTAAAGTGTTGTGTTAGGAATGATAGTCTTCTAATTTTTTTTAGTGCTCTATTTTTACCAGAAAGTGCACTATACACCTCTGTATTTTGCTTGTCTAATCTAAATGCCTAGATTAATATCTTTATATATTTGATAACTTCTTGATCTCTGGATGCATCAGATGAATAATTTTGATTAGTTACCATTTTTGTGATATTTTATATATGATATATCTATTTTTTTCTCATATTTATTTAAAAAAAGAAACTCTATCAGATAAAATATTAGGGTAAGTTGCTCTGGTTAAAAGAATAGACTATCTTTCATAGATTGATAGATCAAGAGAGGCAAAAAAATAAAATTTAATAAACAATGGAAAAATAAAATTAATAAACAGTATCTTATAATCTTAATAAAAACCCCCTAACATTCCATATAATAGTTTTCATCAAAGAGCTTAATTGCCTTTGCCTGATGATACGGTTCTTTCTTTAACTGATAATTTATTATAGTATAGTTTTTTGCAGGAGAGGTATAGTTATCAGGATTGTGACAAAGTGCTTTACTGACAATAGTCATAGCCTTTAATAAATTCTTCACTTTGTGTATCACAACTGCAAATACTACCTCTAATTTATATAAATATATAAGAAATAGTGGTTTGCCAGTTTTGGGAAGGAATCTATCTTTTTTTAGGAATGTATTGAACCATTTGACTCCTGATCTCTTAATTGTTTAGTAGTAATTGAATCCTGAATCTAAGTAAGTAACTGTCTTATCCATTCTTCATTTTTTTCTAATGATTTAAATACCTGAAAGATATCCTGTTGACCTCAATTTTTCATATATCCAGTTACATCTCTATTAGATATACATAAAGTTTTAATTTTAGCAGAACAGACACAGAGCATTATCATTACATCAGCGAGGGCTTATATGTTAGGTACATTAGACACATCATATCTATTCAAACTTTTCTTAACTGATTCTAGCAAGAAGTAGTTAAAAAAATCGATTCCTTCATTTCACGTTACTTACTATACTCCTTTTGAATTTTATTAGCTAAACAGATTATCTCTAAAATCAATGTAGCTGAGACAATTTTTTCTAAAGCATTAAGGGTTTGCAACTCTCTTCAAAATCTAGAGATTTAGAATGAACTAGCACTAGCATTAGAAATGGATTCAGCTAAAGTTTTTGCTATATATTCTACATCTTTTTTGCTAAGATTATCCTGGATAATTTGCTGAGCTATCTTTTCGACAGTTTCTCCTTCTGGAATAAGCTTAGACATTTGGTATAGATTCACTTTTTCCCTCCTATTTGAGAAGTTTCTTGACTTCTACTTTGACAAATTCTTTAATCAAGAACTAATATAAATACCTGCTCTTTGCTAAAATTATACACTTTTTGAAAGCATTGTCGATTTTTGTCTCTTTTTAGTTTATCTGTTAAAAGTTTGAGTAATGCTGAAGCATGCTGGCTAAGTTCTTCATTACTCATATTTTTACTGAATTTATGATTTACAATGTATTTTGTTATAATCGTGAACATGGTTGTGTGAATATAGCTTGTGAAATAACTATTAGATTATGTACAACCCTTAGGTTATTTTATATCTGAAAAAGTTCAATTCAGAAAAAATATTCTGACAATTCTCTATATACATACCTCACTTATGATTGGTAAAAAATAATAGAGAGCCAAAAGATAGGAAAACTAATATAAATCTCGCTCTAATCAGGAGTTTTACATCAATTTGAAATTTGCAGGTAGATAGGATATGCAAAAAAAATATAGCTATAGAACTCCATTCTAAGGCTATAGACAATTTATCTGTATTGATTCATATTTTAGTAAAATACTTATACTAGAGCTAATATATGTTTCAGTTCTAAAGCATTTATCTTAGTGAATACATTATATAAAGAATTTGACCTATACTTTAAAGAAGCTAAATTTTGGTGATGAAGGAATTTCATAAATATATTATTCCTCCAAACTTTTATCTCTCTATACCTTTAGCATAATTTTAATAGTTAGCATAAAGTAAAATCGTATCAATTAGCTTAGAGCAAGATTTGCAATAGGCTTATTTTTTCGTTAACCACTGTTAGTAAACTTCTTTTTAATACAATATTTCAGATAACGATATAAAATGAAAGAAAGATATCTTCTTAATATCAGCAATTTATGTAAAGATAGAATTAAAAGCTTTTCTTTTCTCTAATACATATATCCTCTGAGTAGCAATTTACGATATATTAACCCATTTATAATTATCATATGATTAGTTTTAGGATTATAATTTTTTATGAACTTTATTAGTCAGCTAATCTAATATATCCATAGCATTAGTATGAAAAAATAATTTATCTCATTATAATTCTAATTAATTTAAATATATATTTTATTATAAAATTAAAAATGAAAGAAGGTTTTATATCCTAAAATACTTTCATGACTCCTTTTACTTGCCTATATATCAAAAGAGATGACATTACTTGTGAAAATAAATGCTGGCTTATTGAAGGATGTTATAAGCACTGAAAATTATATGAAAAGAATTCGAAAAAAAGATACTATTTTTTTAGTAATTATGAATTTTCTACTAATGCTGATTTAGGGTATTGTTACGACTACTCTGTTAGTATTTATTCGCATAATTATCAAATGAGGCAAAAATATAAAGCTAAAGCTAAAACTCTTTAATTCATAAAGACTTCTAAATTATCTGTCGAAGGTGAGCAAAAATATTATTCGATCTATTGATCAAGCATCAAAGTTATATATTATATATAGTGACTCTGGCCATTTTTGATAGTATGTAGTTAGGTATTCTTCTATAAAATATTATATAAAATAATGGTAGAAGAATATTTAGTATAATTTGAGAATAGTTTTCTTCAAAAATATTATATAAAATTATAGAAGAAGACTACTCTCATCTGAAAAATAATTAGCATATATTAAATAAATCTTAAATATCTTTTGTAATTTACGTAGTATTTACATTACTAAAACTAGAGTCAGAAGATACTTTACTAAGTTTGCTAATAATAATTCATCAAAAGTGAGTTTACTATAAGCATATCAGGCGTCTTTTCCATTATTCCAATATATCTCTTCTTCTATCTGATATAAAGGTAACTTGAGTACATTCTTATTATCAAACAAGCTAACCAGATGATAATGTATAAGCTTTTTATTAGTAACTTTAAATTTTACCTATATGTTGTGTATAGTACTGAATTTAGTAAACCAAGTTTTACTTAAATTGTTTTTAATCCCGATTTTTTGGCTTTGCATGATGCATCTATATTATTAAATACTTAAGTTATTTTAGATACTAAATCCTGAAAATATGATACCATTTTAAAAGAATCTATGCGTGTTTTAACATTATTAACTTTATATCATATCCTATCATTAATGTCTTTGTAGGTATACATATAGGTCCTTAGTAATTTTGAAATCTCTCAGCTTGAATAGCTATGATAAGTTTATCTTCTCTATAATCTTTGTGAATGATAGCTTTAACAGCTGTTTCATTATTAATACTAGTGTCTTATAATTATCTATAAGCTTTGAACTATTTTATATGATTATAATTCTCATACTTCAATATGAATTCTTCAGTTAATAATTCAGGTAGGATCTCATAATATTCTACAATATAATGCTAGTCTAGAGATCGCATTTCCTCTAAAGTTTTTTCAGCTTATTTTTCAAAACTTTAGCTATTTTATGATTAAGAATACGAAT